AAAAAAAAAATCCCACTTGAAATACTCTATTAATTTTCATTTTTTTCCTTAAATGTGTAGGCTATCAGTTACTTCCCATGTATATACTATCTTTGCTTGTATAAATAAATATATTCAAAGAAACTTCAAAAAAATATACTAAATTGACTAGGATATAGTTATAATTAAAGCTTTAATAATTATATATTTGGATTGGGAAGGGGCACAGTAGCAGGTCTGGTTTTGAAGATACTAGATATTCCAATTTGCCTGTTCTGACTTTTTTAATTACCTGCGGCATTTTCAGTTTAACGCTCAAGAGGAAATACTTCCTATCAGTTCAGTTAAATAGCTCTGAACAGTTAGAAGAAAAAGCTATGCACATAAAATTACTATTGCCAGGTTGGGTAATTTTTACCTTTTCCAAGTGAAACCAATATATTTTAATGCTTCTTCAGCTAAACAGTCAAGAACATAGCATACATGCTCTCCATAACCCGACTTTAATTTTGAAGGAGGAAAATCTGCAGTTCTTCCCTGAAATACAAAAGATACACTGGGTATTATTTGTTATTTATATTGCAAATGTCAAAATATTTTAAGCAAAGTACTGCTGAATAAATGTATCACTTCTTGATTCTTCAAATGATTTAAAATAACTGTAATTACATTGCTTCTCAGAAATCCATCTTTTTAGTCTTCTTTTAAAAATCCATTGGTACATAAATACAAAAGGAAAATGAAGATGTTTTACTGTCAAAAGTATCAAATTAAAAGGCAATAGTATCAAATTAAAAGGCAATAACCTCATGACAGCAGAACAAATCACTTATGTTATTAGGGTGAAAAATCAGCAAAACCACTAGGTTGGTATCATATTGTTAAAGAACTATGTGAAGGATGAAGTGATTCACTTGTCAAAAATTAATAATGTGTGTGCCAAAAATTCTTACTGCTTGTCCCCAGGAAAAGTTAGAAATGAAAAGTACCACTGCTATCATGGTCTATTAAATCAAAGTTCCTTTTCAAAATACAGTGTTTCAGCTTTCTAGTTTTTAATCATTTTTTAGAAGGAGAACTAAGTATCCATAAATTCATCTCTGAGACATATCAACATCAATAATGAACACACACTGAACACACACACACGGACAGTTATTCACAGAGAATTCTTCTAAAAGGCTAGCATTTATGTTGCTGAATTATCAGTATTAAAAATGTCCTAACTTGCAAACATGCAGAAAGAAGGCAGTTGTTTATACTTACAAATGATCGAAGCTCAGATAGTATGTTAGATATTATTGCATTAGGGTCATCATATTCTTGAGGCTGCTCAAAAGGGCGTCCGGCTTTGTTAATCAGCCAGGCAGCAAGGGTGCAAAACATGTAGAACTGTTCCCCGGGATTGGTAGGCAGTGCAAAATAGTGTCTGTTCCAAAACAAAGGAGGAGAGCAGAATATGAAATATTGCAAACAAGTCCACAGTAGCTAAAGGAGCAAAATCCGCAACTGCCAGAGGATTTTTGTCCCAGTGACCCTAACATTAAAAGACACCGACAATTCACTCTGAGGTTTCCAGTAACCCACCGCACTCTTACATTAAAGATTTTAACCAACAGGATAAGGGCAGTTTCTACTGGACACAAAATATTAGTTCAAAGACTTTAACCCAGAAAATGCATTGATGAATACAGAACTTTGAACAAAATCAGGTATGTGTCAGGATAATTAATAAGAGAATATCTCCTGAAATGATAATTTGAAATTTAAGAGACTCTTGGAGTTTAAAATAAAGATCGTGTTACTATGTATTTTTACTTTTTATACAGTGTCACTGTTAATCTTTACTTACTGTTTCTAACCTACCCACCATGTTAAACAGTTGTTCTCAAATTGGCTGTATACTGTATACTGTTCTCAACTGGCTGAATCACTTGAGCTTGTTAAACTACTGCTACCTGACTAAACATTGCTTCTTATCTCACAAATTAAATCAAAACTTTTGGGAGTGAAGTCCAGAGTAGATATGTTTCAAAAGCTTCCTAGGTAGTTCTAAGGTTCAGCCAGGATTAAGAACCACTGCTGTGTATCATATCCCCAGTCAAACAAACATTTGTGAACTTTAGGCTAAAGCTCCTAGCCTCCTAAAAATAGCCTTATGAGGACCAACATGATTCACACCTAAACTTATAAGGAATAAACCCTGCAAGCCACAGCATTTGTTACTTTGATCAAAGACCTTATTTTGCTTTAATGTGAAGCTATTACTATTGTTTATAATTAGATATATAGATACTATAACTATTTTTCATAAGAATCAGCAATCTACTCCTTCCTGATTTTTTTTCCAGTTTTTTTTCCCTCCCAATTTTTTTCCTGCAGGATAAGTTTAAATGTTCTAGAAGATAACAGCTGGGAGGGAAAAAAAGGCCATGAAGTCCTTCCAAGTAGGTATATGTTCACCCACTGCTAATAACTCATTTTTTTCCCTTATTAGCTGATAACAACTCCAGGACAGAGGAATGGATACTGATTGATACTGTAGACCCAGGACAGTTCAGTTCAGTTGCTCAGTCATGTCTGCCTCTTTGCAACCCCATGGACTGCAGCACACCAGGCTTCCTGGTCCATCACCAACTCCTGGAGTTTACTCAAACTCATGTCCATTGAGTTGGTGATGCCATCCAACCATTGCATTCTCTGTTGGCCCCTTCTCCTCCCACCTTCAATCTTTTCCAGCATCAGGGTCTTTTCAAATGAGTCAGCTCTTCACTCCAGGTGGCCAAAGTATTGGAGTTTGAGCTTCAGCATCAGTCCTTCCACTGAATATTCAGGACTGATTTCCTTTAGGATGGACTGGTTGGATCTCCTTGCAGTTCAAGGGACTCTCAAGAATCTTCTCCAACACCACAGTTCAAAAGCATCAATTCTTCTGCACTCACCTTTCTTTATAGTCCAACCCTCAAATCCATACATGACTACCGGAAAAACCATAGCCTTAACTAGACACACCTTTGTTGGCAAAGTAATGTCTCTGCTTTTTAATATGCTGTCTAGGTTAGTGGTTCTCAAACTTAAGTGGGCATCAGAATCACCTGGAAGGCTTGCTGCAAAAACAGACTTCTATGCCTCACCCCCTAGGATTTCTGATATACTGAACTCAGGAAAGGGCTTGTAGGATTACACTTCTAATAAGTTCCCAGGTGATGCTGATGTTGCTAATCAGTTCACCATACTTTGAGAACCTTTAAACTAGGATATCTCCATGCAAATCCATGACTCAAAGTACCCTGCTGAACTTCTGAGGAAATAACAGATTGTTATCAACAGAATCTTAAAGCCAATTTATTTTTGTTTGAAAAAGATACTTGAAGAAAAAAACCACATTTTTATTAACAGAAATTGTTGTTTATATTATGCTCTTCATTTAGGTAATAACTTCCAATCTTACAATTTATATCATGGATCAAGCAACATTATTTCTTCCTCTAACTTTTCTCCTATTATGGACTCGCTTAGCAATATGGGCAGTTAACCATTATCTTCTAAGGGAAGTTACTGGAAGAGAATAAGGAATGACAGTTTAAATGTCAAGGTAAATAATTTGAAATTAATTTGAGCTTAGGTATAGCCATATGGAGAAACTACTACAGATTCTTAAACTAAACTGACTTTTACACAATTAAACAAACACAAAAATTTAATACAAAAAATTATATAAGTATTACTGTGAAGGAAATCTACAAAATTTATGAGGTCTATCACTAGGCTACACTGATTTAAAGAGAAAGTGCTGGCTGTCCATCATCCTCAGCAACTAATACCAGCCGCGGCTTCAAAATACGATGGACTTTCCCCCCAACAGAACAGAGCAGAACTTCAGGTTCTATGAAAAAGAGACAATTCCATTGTCACTTCATTGGTCCTGTTCACTCCTGTTTCCAAAAGTACTGTTACTGCAAAGACATAAGTCTTTTAAAAGGCAGCAATTAGTGAACAAGTTTATTTACCACTTATGAAATGCACAGGAAGGTGTCAGGTACGAAAGTTACAAGTTGTAGGGACAAATTCTCGAAAAGGAAAACAAAAACTAGAGACAGATCTAAACTGATTATGGCATTCATCTTTGAGGATGAGATCATGAGTGACTGCAGTACTTTTTTACATATTGTAAGTTTTCTGAGTTTTCTAGGAGGTTCTTTTATTATGTTTACAATCAGAAAAAAAAAAAGTTTGCGTTTTATGGAGCTGCGTGAGTGCTCTAGGCAAGCTGCCTTGCAGTCCTTTCTGAAGTTCCAAAACTTTACTCTCCCCACAAAAATACCAAGTGTAAACTCCGTGAGCAATCCGGCCCTCCGTCGCCAAGTTTGGGGTGAAGTGCTCTTTGCTGCGTAGGAAGACAGGCAAGTGCTTGGTAACCCGCGCTCGGAGCTCCCCCAAAGGCCGGAGGAAGGCTTCTCCCCAGGGCCCAGCCGGCATCCAGGCGCTCGGGGGACAAGGGCACCCACCTCGACGGGGGCTTCAGGTTGTTCTTCCGGAGGAGATCCTCCTCATAGCGGAGCAACTTCAGCTTCTCCACCAGGTCCTCCATCACCACAAACATGTGGTAGGCCGCGCCGGGCCCCCGCTCCACGACCACCTCCCCCGCTCCTTCGCCGCGGGACCGAGACACCTCATCCTCCAAACCCGACGGGGTGACCACGGCGGCGGCGGCGGCTGCCATCACGGAACAGACCGAAAGAGCCCAGCGCGCGGTCTGACCCACAGACCTCCGCGGCCTGCGCTGGCGCAGCCAGGACCTGCGCGGCCGGTTACCCAGGCGACGCGGGCACACCAACAACAGGAAAACTAGACTCCGCCCCCTTCCCCCGCTCCGCGTTCTAAATTCCCTCCAACCAGGGCGGGCTTCCTTGAGGGCGTCAAGTCTGGCTCCTGCGCCTCCCCCCGCTTCCCCCGCCTCTGGAGAGGCGGAGTCTGAAGCAGCCCCGCCCCGTGGGCGTGGCGGTCTCCTAGTCACGTTGGGCCACGCCTCCTGACGCTTCATTTTAAAGAGTGAGGGTCCGCGGGCGTTTCTGTTGTGCCTTCTTGATGGTTCTTAGGAGGCTCTAGGAGACTTGGAACGGCCATCAGGGGCCCCTGAGTCGGCGTCTGAGTCAGCTGGTAGCAGATAAAAAGATTAAAGACAGAGGAAGGCGTGCAGTATTGAAGGCTACCATAGCCCACTGGTATCTTTTTTAATTTTCTTTTCAAAATTGAAAGTTTCCACAGTTGTAAAGATAGTCGATAGCATAGGTTTCCCTTTACTTCAGGAGTTTTCCAAAGAGAATTTTCCTTATTTTTTTAATCTTTCTCTCATTCGGGAATGCAGTATTTAACAGTATATTGCAAGATTTGAAGTATTATAATTCTCTGCTGTTACTCCAGGGATGGGAAAAGTTGTTGGTTGGGAGGGGAAGAAGAAAGGCAGAGGATAAGCAGAAAGGAGGCATAAGAAACGGTTTGTTGTACCTCAGGAAGGAGAATTCTAAACTCAAGTCCTGCTGCTTAATCTTTCAAGCCCATTAGATGTCGTGTAAAGTTTTGGGGTGCCTTGTTAAAATAACAAAAGAGAAAATCTTGAGAGGAATTCTCTGCCCTGTAGCTCTAAGTGTGGCTAAAGACAGAATGTTACTAGTGTACTTTGCAGCTGTTGACCTGGAAAATACTAATACAAGGAAGGGGGCATAACTGACTGCTTTACAGGTCTCAGAAAAAGCTTGTGTATCAAAAAGCAGTTTTCCTATCAGCTATATAAAAAATCAGGTAAGTGGTAGATGCTGGGGTTTCCTGGGAGATGAAAACTTTCGGCAAGAGGTTGAAACTATGTTTGTGTTTATGTGATTTTTGATCTCTGTACTTTTATCTGCTGCTAGAAAATACAGAGGCCCATTTTTTGACAGAGCTGAAGTTTGAAATTTATTTGTAGCATCTTTTTGTTAGAAAAATGGGCAGAAGAGCATTTCTCATTTTTATATCAATCTGGACCTAACTTATTTCTGAGATATATAGAGGATCAGAGTGAAAAATCGCAAAGGCAAATACCTTTGCCTACTTACTGAGGAAAATAAATACACAAAATAACTGATTTATATAGAAAATAGCCCAAAGGGGGAGACCACTTTAAAAATAAATAACATTGTTTGCCTATTGCAGGTCATTAACAGCTGCTTTTAATAAAAATGAGTGGGAAATTTGGATTTGATTCCACCCCACTGCCAAAACCCCACTGCCAAATTCTTGTTTTTCTTTTCCTCCTTGGAATAGTGTTTCTCCCCGATGTATACCAACAGCAATCACCACATGTGTGGGTAAGGGATATTATATGTCTGTGTAACTTTCAGAGAACAAGATAGATGCGTAATCTTTTAGGATTGGAAGAAAAAAGTTAAAGCTCAGTCATACGCTTGAGCAACTAAACACAGCACATATGTTTTGAGGTCCTTGATTAGCAAGTAACCTGTGGCTTTTTAAGATGGCTCTCAAAACAGTGTCAGACTTTACAGGTAAATTGATTATAATCAAGATGTTTACTTGAAGGCAGGCTGCCTACATAAGATATTCTGACATTTTCAGAAAATTATATATAACACTCAGAATGAAGCAGTCAAACATTGTTTTCTGGCTGACAAGAAATTCTCCAATAACATATGTATTTTGATTGGGGATGTTTGCTGGGGTTCGGGTAGAGAATCTCTTCCAGAACCTAGCCATTTCCTTCTCAAGTACAATGTTGATACACTTTGGCTTGAAACCAGTATGAAGAATTCTTTCCCCGTTAATTATGTGAAGAATAAAAATAATGAGATGAAAATATAAACTGTCCACTAGTAACTGTCACAGAAAAAAATGAAACAAAGGAAAAACCAAGTGTTCAAAGCTGAACATATTTTTCCCACAGGGGAAAAAAAGATAGGAAAGAATACTCTGAAATACTATTTCATTTTTATAAGGCTTAGAGATTATTTTTGCTGAATTTTTGTTTACCCACAGTAGTTTAACACTTCAAGAGGTCTTTTGCCTGATGGAAGGAGTTCCCTTCCCTTCAAATCCTCCTCCAGCTTTCTCAGCCACCCAAAAGTTTTGGGGTCCATTTGTGTTAGTATTTTGGTAGGACCTGCTCACTGATTGCGGAGTTAAATAAGAGCTTGGAAAGAATAGGATGTTGCAGCATGTGAGTACTTTCAAGAATCTTAAAGATTTATCCCTCGTTGTATGTGTTGACCACAATTAAGAGCTGGGCTTCTAACTTTGACTTTTATTTCTTGCAAACTGCCTGTGAAATGATAGAAGGTACTTTTTAAGGCCCTTAAGATAGTGCTGTGAATGGGTTAATCTCTGAAAACTGAAGAGCATTCCAATCAAAGGTGATTTAAGCTAAGTGGATTCCCCTGAAAGATAGCAAAGCTAGGAGTGAAAAGGAGGTGAGTTCAAAGATGGAGGAAGGCTTTCCAGCTGCATCTCCAAATATAAGAAGTCCTCCAAGAAGATTCAGCAGACTTAAAGAACAAAGTTGCTTTGTTTTATAAATGGCTTAGTACCACCCATTCGGGATGTTAAAAACTTAGAATGCCACTAACTGAATAAAACTTCTTAACCTGATAGAAAGTATTGGCCAAAAATCTAGAAGGAAAAAAGTAACATTTAAATGTGAAGCATTAGGTGCAAAGCCTTTTAAAGTCAAAACCAAAGTGAAGATATACACTCTTCAAAACTGTGCTAGAGATCAGAAAATTTACTTAAACCAAAAACCTCAGAAACAAACTATATATAGCACCCAGGAATAAGTCTGTCATGATGATTACAGAGTAATTGTTAGAGGCTAATAAAATCCAAATAGGGATATAGTATTCATCAATAAGAAGAATCAGTTTGTCTTTAACCTATTCCATAAGCTCAGTGCACTTGCAACTGAAATTTCATGAGGGCTGATACTGAAACTCAGGTGAGAGTGAATTTAAAGAAGTGTGAGCAAGAAATCAGTAAGTTCCCTAATATATAATTTAATTGCATCTCAGGAATAAATAGAAAATAACCTGGAAACAGGTGAGTTTATATGAAAATTCAGTGTATGATAAAGTTGGTGTTACCATCTCATGGAGAAAGATTAACTACTCAATAAATGCTGTTGAAGCTATGGATTATCTATATGGAAACAAAATTACATCTCTGAATTCCAGCATATAAATTCCATATGGACTGAGGATGTAAACGTGAAATACTTGTAGGATGGTTAGAAGGAAGCAAAATAATTTCAATGTAAAGGAGGGTTTTTTTTAAGAAATAAAGAATAAACTTAAATGAGAAATTCTTCAAATTTTAAGAAATTAAATACCAAAGAGGACTCTAAACAATAAAGATACTTGTGATCTATTTAGTGTCAATGGATTGGTTCCAAGGACACCCAAAGATGATAGGTCATTGTAAGGCCTCTGTGCATGTTGGAGAGTTTTAGAAGTATCCTTTTAGGTCTGGATTTCTTGCCCTTAGCTTGGTTGACATTTTAGGCTGGACAGCTCTTTGTTGTTGGGAGCTAGTCTGTGCATTGTAAGATTTTAACAGCATCCTTGGCCTCTACACACTGGAGGCCAGTAGTACCCATCCATAACTGTAACAGCCAAAAATCTCTCTAGACATTGCCTGCTGGCCCCCGGGTGATAGTAGGCCCTGGGTGAGAACCACTTCTCTGGATACATGGGTTGAAACAGCTGGGTTTCAACCCAGCTGGATACATGGGTTTACAGCCTTTATAAAAACCAGGGGGTAAAGGTAAATGAGTGGCTGAGTGGTGTGTGTATGTGGGATGGGGAATGGCTGTAGTGAACTAGAAAACTCAGAAACCATCTCAAGGAGGGGACTTTTTTGTCATATAGGAATTCAGCTCAATTTTGCTGAGTTTTATGATTTTACAAGGATCTGAACTTGGGTTTGTGTGTTATTGAGATCCTAATGATTTTGAGGGTGACCTAACACAGAAAATATTGTTTCAGGGACTACGTTAGTTGTTAAATATATTTGGTTTATTAATGCATTGAAGCTCAAAATGAGAAGCCTTGTTCTTTTATATTGATATTCAAATCTTATTTAATTTGTGAAAGTGAAGTTGTTCAGTCGTGTCCGACTCTTTGCAACCCCATGGACACCAGACATCTCCATCCATGGGATTTTCTAGGCAAGAGTACTGCAGTGGGTTGCCATTTCCTTCTCCAGGGAATCTTCCAAGTACAGTAAATTTGTTACAACAGTTTAATGAGGGAATGTACAGCTTAAATTCCTATAGAGGTATTAAACTGTAAGAAACATAAGCTTATTACATTGTTTTGATATTATCTGATGAACTATTGCAGATGCTATAAAATCTCCTGAATCTGAAAGTAAAAAATGGGAGAGGAGGGAAATAAATTCTATTAAATATTCCAATACTGTTCGTAAAGGTAGGTTTCAATGTAAACCAAAAGTCTAAATCGGTTACTTTTCTCTAACAGGCTAAACTTTCAAGCATTAGATACTTAAATATCAAAGAAGCACACATTATTCTTTAACATAATTATACTACTGTAGGTTTGACTTTCATCATTACTTACCCACTTGGCAACTAATCATCCTTACCTGAACCTGTAAAAATTTCCCATCCAGTGTACCAATTTCTGGGCCAGAGATACAAGAGATTCTTGCCCAAAACACCATAGGACACATCAAGTCCTAACTTGCTGTAACAAACTCCCTAACTTAGAAGTGAGTAGTTTTATAACCCATTTCCCTGGATTTACTTCATTTTTTTTTAGTTCTCTACTAAATGGAAGGAGGTCTTCTAACTCCCCCAAGATTATAAATATCTGTTTCAGCTAACTTTGGCTTTCAAGATAGATAAATGCCATCCAATTATATCCTATGTATTTCAAGACTCTGATCCCTGGTTTCATTTTCTTGGAGGAGAAACGAAGTGCATGGTGAACTGAGCTCCATTTCTTCCCTCTGTAGATGATGGGGGTGTTTACTGAAGGGTTTCACGCAGATACGTGTGTGCTGTGGGAGGGGTGTGGAAGATGATTATATTTGCATCTTTGAGTATTCAGGCAGTATTGTAGAGGAGGGACCACTGATTTGGCAATTTGAATAGCCAGGTGAGAGATGGTTCTGAACTGGGATGAGGGGCAATTAGAACGGTGAGAAAATGATAGTTAAATAT